CTGGGGATTCTTGGAGTTGAAGTCCACTCATCTTAAAGTGGCCAAGTTTGGACAACACTGGTCTAAGGTATCTAAATAAAAGGATATCAAGAATGAACAGGTTAGGGATAGATCGTCATGGAGAAAACCTGTGGGGTTGCTAGGAGTTGAAAATGACTTGATGACACCTAATCAATCCATACAAATGTCATTGTACTGAAATACAGGTGGTCTTCAGCTTTCACTGACCATTTGTTCAGTGACCATTCGAAGTTATGACAATGCTGAACGAATGGTGGTTATAACCGATCCTTGGAAGTTACGGCCATCCCAGCACCCCCGCGGTCATGTGATTGTGATCTCGGCACTTGGCAACCTGTTCACACTTAGGACCAGTTGCAGTGCCCCACGATCACGTGATCGTCATTTGCAATCTCCCTTGCTGGCTTCTCCAGAAGGTCAGTGGGGAAGCTGGCAGAAAAGATTGCAGGTCGCTGGGGTAAGACTCCCCCACTCGCACACCCTCCCCAGCCCCTTTGTGCTGGCATCACAGTAACCACTGGCACACCCCCGTGCAACCCTCCCAACCCATGCACACTCCCGCATCCCCTCCCTGGCCTAACTAGCACTTCTCATGCACTCCCACGCACCCTCCCCAACCCATGCAGTGCCTCTTGCGCACCCCTGCACACTCCCTTGCACACCCCCTGACCCACCCTGCACCTCTCATGCACCCCCTCGTCCCATCCTCCACTCGGCAGCCACTTACCTGCCAGCCGGCCTTGGACTTGCAACTTCCTGCCAGCTTCCCCACTGACTTTGGTTGTGGGAAGCTGGCCAGAAGTTGCCTCACTTAACAACTGCGGGATTCAGTTAACGACAGCAACCAGGAGAGCAGGGGTTGCCATCACTAAGCAATGCAGTTGTGCTTTATGACCACAATGCTTCATGATGGAATTTATTTATTTATTTATTTATTTATTTATTTATTTGAACAATGTATATGGCCGCCCAACTCACTCAGGGTGACTCCAGGCGGCTTAGAAGAATAAAAATCCCAATAGAAAACCCACTCCGGTCCCCAAAATTCCAGTCCGAATTGCCGTCGTAAGTCGAGGACTACCTGTAACATAATGTATCAAGATTTATAGTAACACAATAAAAAGGGAAAAGAGGTCAAGAGGGCAGCTGTGAACGTGGGATCAAAATGCTGCCTCTTTTTTGCATGTATCACATGCGCTGCCCACATTAAAAAGTGCCAGAACTCCAATCACATGGTACTGGCCAACATTTTTACAGTTTTGACCCCCTCAACACATTTTTTTCATTCTCCAATATGGTTCTGAACTATTCCAGAGCCTATTTTTAAGCCTAGAAAGACTTTCCAGGGAGGTCATCTGGTTTTTATGCAATATTTTTCTTTTGCGGGGCTTCCGGATTTATTGTTCTTGGCTGCAGGGGCAAAAGTCAGCCTGTCCTTCTTTGTTGCTGATGGCTTCTGATCTGTTTTTTCATCGACGCGTGTTTTTATCCGCGAAAATATCTGCGGGAAATAACCATCTCTGTTTTCCCTCTCCAGTTTTGAGCAGCTCTGTATTAATTTTGCCAACGAGAACCTGCAGCAATTCTTTGTCCGTCACGTCTTCAAATTGGAGCAGGAAGAATATAATCTGGAAAATATCAACTGGCAGCACATTGAATTCACAGACAATCAGGACGCGCTGGATATGATTGCCATCAAACCGATGAACTTAATCTCTCTCATTGATGAAGAGAGCAAATTCCCCAAGGTCGGCGTTTCGCCAATTGCCGTGACACTTAAGACCCCCAAATGCTCCATTTATGGCCTCTCAACTCCCCCTTTTTTTGGTTTTGAAAAGTTCGGGGCAAATCTCCGCCAGTGGCAAATCTTCTGAGCATCTGGCTCAGAAGCAGGATTGAATTTAGCGAGTACTGGGATAGGAGACCACTGAGAAATCTCAGGGCTGTAAGCTGGACAGGACGTCAGAAAACACCCCATTTCCACACTGTTAATGCGAAGTTTATAGATGTGTATCCAAGAATTAAGCTCAAGTCAAAGGATGTGTTACTTTTGAGGAATTTATGAATGCCTTAAGCTTAATGTCTACTAATTGTAGCATCCTTTAAAAACTGTGTCCCCCTCCCCAGTTGGGGAAATATTTGTTACGGGGGGGGATAAAGCTCAAAAGGCTTGCCTTAAGGCTCTGCAGGTTTTAACAAACTCATAGTCCCTGAATGCCCCAGCCTCCCCTCAAGAGAAAAAGGGCTTGAAAATGTCATTCCTCTTCATTCTTTTGAGTTCACAGCACCAGACTCAACCTCGCAAAGGAAAATGGGGTCTGCAGATTGAAAAAAGCCGGCCCGCCCTCGTGCTGGATCATCCATGATAATTATTCCTCCTGTCTTTTAATCCTTTTTCAGCCCTATTTCTTTTCTACAGACTTTGGCAATGCTTTAAAATGAAGTGATATGCAAACAGACAGGACAAACTTTTGCTGATCAGGAGAGACATTTCATATTTCGGAAGAACAGCTGGGGCTGCAGTGGGGGGGCTGGGATGGGCAGTGGGCGGGGCTGTGTCATTTGTGGGGGATCAAGGGGGGGCTTTATTTTCTGGGCCTGAGGTCCAATTAGAGCAGGGTTTCTCAACCTTGGCAACTTTAAGACGTGTGGACTTCAACTCCCAGAACTCCCCAGCCAGCA